GTCGACCGGGAATGCAGGCCGGGTGGCGAGATCACGCAATCATGATAATTTCGCAGGCAAGAGTACGTTTCCCCATTGCAGACCGGACATAGGAACCGAGCGACCGATCTTAGGAATTCGCCTGATGGAGGTTCGGCGGAGATTGCTGCGGTTGTTTATGCAGCGTTTAGACCAGTTTGAGACCACAATGAGACCAGACATAGACTTAATCAAGATTAGAAGTTGGCCGTAATTAAACCAGAATTAAACCAGAATTATACCACAAGTCGACCGCACTTAGAGTGCAAGTTGACCACGGGGCATGGCGGGGGGCCGGCAATGAGGAACGGGATCGGAACAGGATGAACAACTTAATAATGGTAAAGGAAACAGAGGGGTGCACATGGGGGTGGGGGGGGCACCAGAGGGGGAGAAACGGAGGAACAGCATCGACAGGAGGACCAGGATAACGATGGGATCGCGACGATGACAAGGGGGTGGGGGGCGTGGATGTTGCACGGGGGCATTCGCGTAGGGCAGGGGGCGAGTGCGGGAGAACCCGGGGGGCCATGCGAAAAGGGCGGTTGACGATAACGACGGCGAACGGACGAGGATGGCCAGCTGCAGGAGGAGCAGCAAAGTGAAGGTGATCGCGCGACGAAGTTGGGGCCGATTCAGAGTCGAGCGTAGAGTGGCTGGCGACGCCTTTCGTCGCCAGAGAGGGCGGCCGGTTTTGGCGAAGCCCCGCGGCCCCCGGGCGGAAGCGCCAAATCAACGCCCCGCCAGAAGTGCCACAACAATTTCTAGCGATTTCTGGCCTTTCCCGTGAGCCTCTACAGCCAGCAGTGGCGGCGCCGGCGCCGCAAAGGCCGCCCCTGGGAGCTAGCGGCGCCGGCAAGCCCGTCGGAGCGCCAGGGGGGCGTAGGAGCAGGCGCACACGGGAAGCGGGGTGGGGAGGGCAACGGCAGGAAGGAAGAGGCGAACCAGGCGCAGGAGGGCGGTGTGAGCGCACTTGGGTGTTTGCAGTGTCGAGCTGGCCGAGGTGAAAGGAAGCGGCCCAGGACCGAGGTGTGCGTGGGGCCGAGGGCCCCGAGCGGCGTGGGCAGCCCCGCATCCATGGATGCACGAGCGGGGCCTGCGGGGGTGCCGTGCCGCGGGGGCAGGGGCCGCGCGAGCCTTCCAGGAGGGGTCGCCGGGGCCGTGGCACTGGGGGCCGGCGCCGGAAGAGAGGCCGGCCGTGACCGCCCGCCCGAGTGCAGGATGCCAGGCCTCTGGCACTAAAGGCGCCGGCGTGGGAATGGCTCCGAGGGCGCCCCGGGTGCAGGGCGATGCCGGGGGGCCACGTCGCCGTCGTCGGGGCCCCCGCGTGGGGCGGGGGCAGCGTCGGCGGGGCGCTCCTCTGCATGGGCCGATTCAGTTAGGAAATCCATGAACTGCTCTGTTTTTGCGAGCGAGTAGATGGAGGGCGAGGGCAGAGAAGTTGCAGGGGTGCGCGGTCCAAACCTAGGGCGGGGAAGCGTCCGCAGCTCCAGCCCGACCCAGTCGCGCGATCTGGTGGGCTGGTGCCCTGGCATTGCAGGGGGGTCTGCTTCGCCGTGCGTCGGCGTGCGCGCGCGACTTTCCCAGGGGTCCTTCCGATGAGAAATCCTGATCGGGAATGCTTCTTCTTGAAAGCTGATCGAGATCAGCTTTCCTGATCGGCGGTGCGTTTTCGATTGGCCCGCGGTTGTTTGTTGCGCAGTGCGCATGTTATCTCTTTTGGAGACACGCGATGGATCGTGTATGAAGCCTCGTCGCGCACGTTTATGCGCGCGCAGCCGTTGACATCGCAACATTTCCCCCCTCAAAAAAACATCCTCCACCTCCCACGTTTGCCGCCTACATATACATATACATATATATATATGTATGTATGTCTGTATGTATATATATGTGCGTATATAGAAATAACTATCTCTTCACATATATATATATATATATATCATCCTCCTCTCCTCCAACTCCACCCCTCCAACCGCATCCACCTCCGCCTTCGGCCCCCCTGGGAATCCAGAAGGGCATCGGCGTTTTGTCCCGAACCCATTGTTTTCTGAACGTTTCCATGCAGGGGTTCTCCAGCAGCATAAGGTTCTACGTGAGCCAGCTGCGAAGATGATATTCTCACCTCACAATGCAGAATTGTTCGTTTTTGATGCCATGTCAGTCGTATTCCATAGCCGTTGTGGCTCAAACCAGATTGTCAGGCAGGTATTCGTAGTCCACAATGTCTAAAGATGACACCGATGACACAGAGGTTGATCAATTGCTTGCGTGTTTCTTAAAGTTTGGTGTGAAGTACGGCCCTGCATTTTGCAAGTACGGATGTGATGCAGATAAAGTTCCAGAGGCGAAGTTGATCGTGAACGGTCCCGAGGGCGTCAATGGGCACCATGAGCTCTTGTCGTCGCTCCGTGTGATCAAGCAGGGTCTCACATTCAATGCATCGACCATCAAGGCTGCCCTCAAAAAACTGGTCGAACACAAGGACATCAAGAGAGAGCCTGGGTGGTCTACGACAAAGGTGGAGCGAGACGATTGGTCTAAAATCATTCCCCGCAGGATCCGAAACATGTGCAGGTGCGTTTCCCAGGGCGAGCTGAAGTCGAAGACGGCTAAATGGGTCGCGGGCCTCCCATGGGCAGGGGGGGCACTGGAGGGGCCTGAGGGTGATGAAGGAGAAGAAGAAGGAGCAGAAGAATAACCTCAAGCTGATCCTGATCAAGAGATTGATGAGGCGGAGTTCGAAGATGCCTCGAACGATGGAAAGGTCATTTGCACATCGCCGCAGCACGTTTCCAAAAAGCCTGCCAAAGCTGATGCATATATTTTTGAATATCGGCTCGACCCCCGCGCGAACAGGAAGGAGACGGGCCTCCCGATCACCATCCCCAAGGGTGCGAAGAATCTGGCGCTCGTTGTTGCTGAATGGCCTGATGGGCGCAATCATGCTATTCAAGACATGACTTATGAGCAGATCCGTTCGATGCAGCGCTCAGGCGGGAAAGGCTCGTCAGTAGGCGACCTCTGGGAGATGGGGCAGGTCGACACCAAGCGCAGGGTTACCATCGCCCAGCGCGTGGATCGAAACCTACCCATGAGCATTTACGAACAGGGGGGGCCGAAATGCCAGGTCAGGATGGACAGATTCGCCGCGATTGAAGACCAGATCCGCCAAGTTCCAAAGGATCACCCTGCCTGCTTGGGAGCCCTCGCGCTGCTGGTACCGATCGCAAAGAGCTTCGCCAGTGGCAATCTCACGACGAGTGCGCAGCTGGAGGAGGCTCGCGACGCAGCCCTCATCAAGAAGGTCCTCGGTTCCAGTTCACGTGCGGATGCGAGGTCGAAGCGTTCAGCATCGACTCCCGATCCAGTGCTCAAGAGGCCCGCGGCAGCCGCCCCCACAGAGCCGAACCCTGCCAGCAGCGAGGCCGAGCCGAACAAGAAAAAGTCGAAGTCCTCTGGTGGTCAGTCGGTAAAGGCCTCTTCGCCAGCAGCTTCTCCGAGCTCTGTGCATGAGGGTGGCGGTAGCACGGCAGTGCCGCGGTCCCAGTTCGCAATGCCTTTGCCTGTGGATTCCGTGGTGGATCTTCTCGATGCGGACTAGATGCCATGCCATTCAAAGCTGTTTTACTTGAGTCTTCGATGTCCTGGTCAGGACAGTCGCGATAGCCATGAGAAAAACAGAGTGCGCATCCTCTTCATTCCTCTCCCCGCCACCTTTTCACATATCTCTCTTCTCCTCCTCCCACTCCTCCTGCTCCGCTTCCTTGTTCTGTTCCCCTGAATCCGTAGTCCGCCTCCCTCGACTGCCTCCGCCAACTTGCTCCCCGACGTCCTCGTCCACCATCCTCCCCCCCCTCCTCCACGTCCACTGCGTCTTCTCGTCCTGCTCTTGCTGCTGACGCTGCCGCTGTCGATGCCAATGCAACCCCCCTCCGTTGTTTCCGTCGGCACTTCCATGAAACGGTTTAGGTATCATCCCCGAGTTCCGACTGGGCCGTTCGTGAGCGTTGCAGTGGGGGAAGGGGGTCGTGCGCAAGCCCCAGAGGCAAGGCTTGACTTAGGGGCGCTTGCGAGGCCCACGTCACCATCTCCGTGACCTTGGCCCGCCCGCTGGGAGGCGAGGCGCAGCGCGCCCCGTGCCGTCGCCCCTGCGGCGCCGAGAGAAGTGAGAACGGAGCAGCGGAGAGGGTAGCAGAAGAGAGCGAGGACGAGGATGGGATGTAGGACGTCGGAGGAGGAGAAGGACGAGGATGAGGAGGAGGAGGAAGAGGAGGAGAAGGAAGAGAAGGAGGAGGAGGAGGAGGGGGGGGATTGAGGGGGAGGAAGAGGAAGAGGAGGAGAGAGAACGGAAGGGTGGCAGGAAGGGGGTGAGGAGGAGGCAAAGGAGGAGGAGGAGGATGGGGGATGATGATGTGGAGGAGGAGTAGGAGGGGGCAGCACAAACCTCTCCAGGCTAGCCTTGCCCTCGGACAAATATAGCACCCGCGTCGGCCTCGCCCCGCCCCATCGGTTACCCTCGTGCCCGAAGAACAATGTAGCAGAGAAGATCCAGACAGCACGCCTTTGCACAGACATCACCTGCGTTGCACAACGCAGCAGAGCACAGCGTAGCACAGGATAGCATAGCATAGCCATCAAGCAACCATCCAATACACAGAGCAACCAATGACAGCAACATCAACATCAACACCGTCATCAACACCGACAACAACAACATCATTATCAATCATCAAGCCGTACACCTTCTGGATCGAGTCGCTTTTTTTGTCCGAGCAGTTGTGCCGAAGCGACTCCGATGTCGCTCCAAGGAGATTTCTCGCCACCCGAGCCTGTGCCGTCCGTTCTCCCGCGTGGGGCGAAGGCAGATGAGCCCGAGCCTCAGGCGATCACTTCACAGCAGGTGAGGCGAGAGTTGCCTGACCCCAATGATGACGCCCCCCGCAAAGTTTGCCAGAGTTGATGACACTGCGCGCGGGCAGGCCATCTTCCCAGACAACATTATGGGCCTGAGCTACAGCCAGCAGCAAAACAACACGCATCGCACCCCTGAGGGCAAGATCATCCGTGAACCTGGGGCCGAAGAGCCGATCTCGTCGGGATCCGCTGGCCCAGTCGGTGTCGCCTCCCCGCGCAATGCCATCGAGCACGCAGCCTTGGTGGAGGCAGCTCAGCACAATCGTTCAGCCGACTTCTTCGCAAGGCAGATCGGCGGAGCGATCACCGAGGAGACTACTAAAGGATTGGAGGTTGCGTTCGGCAAGCTTGCTGACAAGCATTCGAAGGACGAGAAGGCCATGCTAGACTCTCTGCCCCCCCCCCCCCCCCCCCCCCCCAAAGTTCGGAAGCAACTGGACGAGCTGCAGAAGATGGGGGGGGGGGGGGGGGGGGGGGGCAACGGGAGAATGGGGCCCCAAGTCGTACCTTGCTTCCCAGTTCCGCGCGGAACACAAGAAGGGCACCGACAAGGGCGACTCCTACCACAGCATCCACAACCGAGATGAGGCCGCAAAGTTCAGAGCCAACTGGGCGAAGCTTCGGTTCAAGAAACTCAAGGAGGAGAAAGTGCACGCGAAGACGTGGAGGCGCATCGACCGCGCGAAGGGGGAGTGCGAGCCATTCGGGGCAATCGTGCTTGCTTACGGAGGGTGGATGTGTGCGTCGGCGATCGTCGGCGCGACCAATGTCTCCAACAAGTGCATGCTTATGGGCCCGCCCTGGTACATTCGTCGCGTGCAGTCGGGCCTCATCGAGTCCCTCGTCCTTCGGTTCGAGTTCGAGGAGGAGTTCGACCAGTGCTGGAGCCATATGATGTTGGAGTATACCGAGGGCGAGCTCGACGACTCCACCGACGCAGGCAAGCAGGCCCGCGAGGAGGGAGGCGGTGCACCCGCGGCCAAGGCCGAGGGAGAGCCTGAGGCTGCGGCTACGCCGCAGGCATCAGCTAAGCCTACGGCTAGGGCTACGGCTAAGGGCAAGGGCAAGGCCAAGGCTAAGGCGAGAGCTGGGGCGACCACTGGGGCTGATGACACCCCTGATGTCACGACCCCTGGCAAGGCTCGCTTGCAGGAGATGTCGAGCAGTGCGGGGAAGTTCAAGTCCATGTGCCAGAGCGCCACGTCTCAAGCAAGCGACCTCGCTGGGACCATCGTCGCGTCGCCCGAGTGGGCTTGCGCCAAGGGCGGCGCGCGCGAGCAGAAGCTCCAGAGCTTGACGAAGAGCGTCAAGGATGGTCTCAACTCCTGGCACAACGAGTTTCTGATGTCGCCCGACATCGCGGTCTTCAAGAAGAAGTGCACCTCCGATAGGCTCCTGGTGGAGTGGTCCTCCATGCTCGCTTTGAAGAGCAAGGTCGAGGACCTAGCTTCGCTCTGCGCGCGTCTTCTGCGCTCCCACAGCGAGCTAATGAGCTAGTCGTGTTTTGCCTCGTGCGCATGCGAGCGCACAGGCAACTTGCGCAGGACAGGCGGCTCCGAGTGCTAGCAAGGAGTCTAGAGGAGGGGAGCGCAGGAAAAGGAATATACGGAACAGGAGAGGGAGGAGGAGGGGGAGGAGGAGGAGGAGGAGGACGAGGAAAAGGAGAGGGAGAAGGTGGAGGAGTTCGACGTAGAGGAAAAGAAGGAGGAGGAGAGGGAGGAGGAGAGGAGGAGAAGGGAAGAGGGGTGGGGGGAGGCTAGATGGTTTCAACCACGATTGCTGCAATGAGTCCATCGCATGTTCAAGTTGTCGCCTTTCTGCCCCCCCCCACACCTTTGCTTCGCCTCCGCCGCTCTTCCGAAGAGGCTTGCGGGCGAATTGTTGCTCTTGGGGGACAATGACTCAGGATCCTCCAAATCTTTGAAGATCCCTTGGCAGATTGGCTGAGATCGAAATCTCGAATTTCTCTCGAATTTCCGTTTCTCGAATGTGTCTCGAATTTCGATTTCCCTTGAAATCAATATGTAAACCATAAATTCGAGGAAAATCATCGATCTCGAATTTGTCTCGAATTTGTCTCGAACTTCAGCCAGTGCAGGAATTCTCTCCGGGGGGGACAACCGGCGCAAGATGGCTGGATTTAGCGTTGCCGCTCTGGAAAATGTCCTTGTCGGCGCAACTGCTGCGTGGCGCCGCGAACTCGAGCGGCGATTTTGAATAGTCTGAACTGGAAGCTTGCGCCCGTCAAGCTCGGCGATTGCTGGCATGGCCAGCAACGGCCTCTTACGTGAACAATTTCCCTGCGGGATTGCCTCGACTGTACTTGGTGCCAAGTGCTAGCTGGCTACGTTCGACCACGTGGGGCGTGGTGCACCGCAGTTTGCCGCAGACGTCATCTGGGCGCGTCAAGACATCAGCATCGTCATCCAACATCGGCCTCATCATCGTTCACGTTATCTGTCTCTTGCACACTGCCCCCCTTGCCGCGGGCCCCACCCCCCCCTGGCGTCCGAGTAAAGGGCCACGAACACATGTCCACAAATCAAACCAATACCAAACATGTTGTGGGGCCCTCTGGGTGCGCGGAGTCTGAGATGCGAGACGTGGCTGAATCAGATCCGAGACGTGCCTTGGTATAAAACTCAATATCCCGAGAGATGTCTGCGCTGAAATGAAGGCCCACATAGTCCGTATTAGCCCTCTGCTATTTTCCCCGCCGCTGCCCAGCCAACCCTTTGCACCCCCCTCCGCGCCCTGCCAGTCACGGTGATCAAACCGCCAAGGGGCCAAGGGGCAAACCTCCAAGTGGTGCAATCGGGGGCCCTCCGCCTCCTCCTCCTCTTCCCCATCCTCCTCCGTAGCCGTTTCGGCTCGTGGCGCCAGCTTGCCAATTCTTGATTGCAATCATGAGCCGCTCTTGGGGCAGGTTCTACGCGCCGTCTACGGGCGGAGAGTCCACTCGAGCTGACGATGATTTACAGTGGGGCGAATGTTCCGACATCGACGGCGGTTCACATTGCGACCGCAGTGCGGGGCCTGGGGCAGAACTCGTGGAATTGTTATTGGGGGGCGCCATGTATCGACGCCTTAGTTGCAAAGAAGTGTGCATCAGAATGTATTGGGCGTGTCGTGCAGGCGTTGAGGAGGCCAAGCCTTTTGCGTTGGGGCCTGGTTCTCAGACGGGCCACTACAGCAGGAAACTCAGAGAAGCATTGGGGCACACTGCTGACAATTCTCAGCTCTACGAAGCTACAGTGCCAGGCTTATCAAATACTGACCTGTCACGGTCGCAACTGGATCGACCTTGCATTCCCTTGCGCGAGCAAATTTGGGAAGACACTGAACGTGATTCATCGGGCAGGTTTCGGTTGACAGAGCGCCTGCGCGACAAGAGCATGCCACCGTGTTGTTGCCAACATCCAGTAGTCCTTTCGAACCTTGGGGAAAATGTTGACGCCCTCGCGATTTACCTCGACGCCGTTCCATATTCGCATACAGACTCGGTGATAGGGTTTTGGGGCCGAAATGTGTTGACAAACCAGCGGTGGCTCTGGTGCGTGCTACGAAAGAAACACGTGTGTCAATGCGGTTGCAGAGGCTGGTGCAGTTACCACGCCGCGTTTACCTTGCTTGTCTGGATGCTGCGGGCTTTGGCCGCGGGCGTCTATCCAGAGAGCAGGCGCGACCAGGGGGAATGGCGGGCCTCCGACGCGCAGAGGAAGACTTTAGCTGGCCAGACAAGAACCAAATTCGCAGTGCTGTACATCCAATGCGGTTGGAGCGAGTACAGTTCAACCTTGGGGTTCCCTCAGTGGAGCGACGCTCTTAGGCCATGTTTTGCGTGCAATGGGCACGGGCGCGACCTCTTTATTGCATTGGGTAGTTCACATGATTCATTGCGTTGGACGTGCAACGAGGATGATGACTTTTTTAAAGCATGTGATAGGTGTGAGATACACGTTGTAATTCGTGATGAGGTCACTCGCGAACGTACATGCGATGTCTTGCGCTACGACAAGCGGGGGAGCGGTGCTAAAGGAAGGGCTCTTGTGCATGCTCTCCCAGACCTGGGCCTCCTGGCGGGAGACAGACTGGGGCCGTCCCAGGTGCTTTGGGATGCGCAGCAGTCCTCGTCGTTCTCCTCCTCCGTCGCCTCCCCCCATCCTTCTCCTCCTCCTCCTCCTCCTCATCCCTCTCCTCCTCCTGTGCCTTGTCCTCCTCCTCTTCCTCCTCCCTCTTCTCCTCCTGTTCCCCTCCCCGTCCTCCTCCTCCTCCTCCTCCTCCTCCTTGTCCTCCTCCTCCTCCTCCTCCTTGTCCTCCTCCTCCTCCTCCGTCCTCCTCTGTCCTATCCTCCTCAGGCCACCAGAGTCGATCCGCCTCCCACCTCCTCCCTCAATCCGTCGCCCTCCAATCGCACCCCCTCCGCCACAGCCCTCCCTCTTCTTTCGTGCGCATCAAACTCCTGCGTCCTCCCATACCCCACCTCCCCCCCTCATCTCTTCCTCTTCGTGCGCCGTTTCCTCCTCGTGCTCTTCCTTAACCTCTACGTTATCCTCTATCGTATTGTCCTGCGTCTGCTCCTCCTTGTTCCCCCTTTTCGTCTTCGACCGCCTTTTCCTCCTCCTGCTCCTCCGGCCCCCCCCCGCCACCTCCTCCTCCTCCTCCTCCTCCTCCTGGTCCTCCTCCTTCTGCGTCTCCCCCTCTTCCTCGTCGCACCCCGTTCTCGTCCTTCTCATCGCTGTTCTCCCTTGTCTGACTCGGCCTGATGTCCCCGAGGCAGCCCCAGACATTGGCCAGTTGGAGTTACTGCGGATCCCAGCCGAAGGCGTACCGACCGTTTTCTGGCGCACGGAAATGAAAACAATGACTCGCCACCGCAATCCGCTGTTCCACAAGGCCCTGGGGGTAGCACCGTTCCGCTCGCTCACGATAGACGAATTACACGCCATGCACTTGGGGGCGATGAACAGGTGGTGCACTGTCTGCCTGTGGATGCTATTAGATAGTACTGTCTACGGCGATTTGGGGAATAATGAAGAAAACGTGCGCATTGCAATTCTGGCTCTTCGGAACAGGCTCATGACGTGGCACGCCCAAAGACGACGGTCTCACCCAGAAACCACACTGGCCCCAGTGAGCGATTTTACAACAAAAAATGGCGGGCGCAAGATCAGACCCTGCTCGCAAAACAAAAGGTGCCGAAACATGGGGAATGATGCTGTTTATGCTTGATGAGCTGAACGCGTTCAAAGAACGGATCTCGCCCGATTGGTTGAGGCTCTTCCGCGCAGGGGAATGTTTGCAAAGTTTGGTCGAGAGTTGGCGTTCGCATGCGTGGATTATCCCTGAATCTGTTCGGGCGGACCGCTCGGGGGAACTTAAATCCTGGAGCTGTCGCTTCCCTTCATCGCCCCCCTGCTCCTGCTTCCCGCCTCCGCTATCTCACTCTGCTCCCCCAGCCGCTATGCCTGCCCCCTCTTTCGCAACGAGTGCCAACCCTCTCGCCAGCTTGCCCCCAGAGATCCTGACCCCGAGGAGTCATTTGCACATTGCAACATGCACGTTGTGTTGATGGCGCCGTTCGACGTGTACAAACCGAAGCACCACGTGATATACCATCTGATTGATCGGACGTCATGGTTTGGAAGCCCTTCGCTGTGTTCGTGTTGGGTCGATGAGGCTCTCAATAAGACGCTCAAAGCGTCGTGCAAGAATTGCGGTCATCACACATTCGAATCAGGTGTTCTCTCGCGAATGCGAATGCTGTTGCAACCGAAATCGCGCGGCAAGCGCTTCCGCCCGTGAGAGAAAAAGATGATCGTCATCACTGTCTTGTCTCACATCGTAGCTGTTTCAATCATTTCGTTGATCATCTGGATCGTCATTGCTGTAGCTATCTGCGTGTGCACCAGTGTCTATGCGTAGACCTTTCGACAGGGGAGAGATTGTGACATTGTCTATGCCATATTGTCTATGCGTAGACCTTTCGACCCCCCAAGTCGCCAGCCGACCCGAACATGCGATGTGAACCCCTCGCTCGGACCCCCCTTTGCGCGGTCCTCGGCGTGCCGGAGCCCCCCGCTGAGCTTCATTCTCAGTGATGGTGGAGAGATGCGAGATAGGAGGGGCAAGGCGAGAGAGAGAGAGAGAGAAACAACAAAAAAAAAAATACAGTGATCATCACGGCGAGAGCCGCGATCATCACTGAAGGCAATCAGAGAAATCCATGGAGGGCGTGGAAGGCGAAACCGAAAATGGACAGAGAGAGATAGAGAGATAAGAGAGGAAAAGAGAGAGAGAGAGAGGGAGAAAGAGAGAGAGAGAGAGAGAGGACGGCGGCGAGGAGAATGGGGACGATATGAGAAAGGGAGAGAGAGAGAGAGGGATGATAAAGGGGGAGAGATGACGACGACGGCGAGGAGAAAGTAACGGGCAGAGGC